ATTAAGAACAAGGCATGGCAGGCGAGTAGGCTGGCAGTTGCCCCAGAGACGGGTGTGTGGGCCACATTGAGGGCGGCCCAGAGCAGCTACCTGTCACAGGAGGCTAACAAGAGTGAACATGCTATATCCTCTGGCTGTTCTGATGGCCTCAGTGCCAAAGAGAGGACTCTCAGGGAACTCTATGGAAAAAACACTGGGGGCCCATTTGTGTCAGTGAAATGGAGATGGAGAAAACAGTACAGAATTAGACTCTGTAATATATGCCTGTAAACCACCAATCCAGGCCATTATGGGTTCTAAGAACAGGTGTGGTTTGTTTTCTTAATAAAAAAATTAAAAGGGTTGCCAACAGGAAAACTATATTTAGAGAAAAGTTAAAGATGCTACAGATTTACTGTGGTCTTTAAAGTGAGAGCAAGAAGCTTCAATTGAAGCCAAGCAGAGGCTGAACACTGAAAACACAGTAGGCATATTCTACCTTTTATGTTCTCACTGCAAAGCGCAAAAATGTCAAGGTACGTGCAAATTGCACCAGCAATACTATCCAAAAATCCAAGCTTGAATACACAAAACTGACTTGCACTTAAAGTGGAGCATGCAATGGACAATCACTTGATGGAGAAATATTAGATTCTGCTTTGTTCTACAGCTGTCAATAGTCTTCATGCTCAACATGAAGCAAAATACTGAAAATCAGAAGCCAGCTATTGAAAAGGTTATTAGTTCATCTAATCCACGTTCCTGGATTACATGTTACACTGGTAATTAATAACTGATTAGTAAAGGGCCTCCTACTGCCCTTTCTCCATAGTCCAATGGATATCAATTTTAGAGATTTTCCCTGATATTTCCCCAAAATACTTTAAATTTATTCTTCCTCTATTTCCATTATTAAGAGAATGCTCTCCTCAGAACCCTCTTAGCCTACTTTTTCCAGCTGCTCTTTTACAAAATGTTCAAATACTGTGAAGCTTGCTCAAATAATTCAGGAAGAATTATGTAAAAAGTACATTTTAGTTTTAAACTGTTTCCACGTTAAAGTCAATTATTTATTCCCTTAATTGTTGCTGTAAACCTTCAAGTACCTAAACTATAAATTATATTTTCAGAATATCATTTTTATGTTGATTCACCTGAAGTGAAATAAGTGAGTATATACACCTAAATCACAAACATGTCAGAAAAAGCCAAGGACGCCAAAATAATTCAGGAGAGAAAGAAGGAACAATTTTCATGGAAATCCATAAGTATATGAAAGACAAACTGGAAGTAACAAATACTTGTGAAAATGACAGTGCACTTGCATGTAGAAACAATTCCTTTCTAAAAATATTTAATTTAACCTAATATTTTTACACTTCTAAATGTTAGCAATTACCATTTATCCATTATCAACAGGATCTGATCCATTTCAGAAATTGATATTTTTGCAGACTGGTAGAAAAAAAGGAGATTTCCAGTTTATTATGCATTTATACACCTGACCTTTTGCTTAAAGCTTCAAACACGCCACTGTCACTAGCCAGTGAATAATCGGATAGACATGCTGAAACTCGCCTGGCTCTCCTCTCCGACCTTCTAGCACTGTCTTCACGCAGAGTTACAGCTGTAAGAGAGAAAAGCAAAGAAAGGTGAAATTGAGGAACTCTCTCATAAAATACTATATATGGAGTGAATTCAAATCTCTCAAACTACATTTAGAACAGTCCATGAAAGTACAGGTGCACATTTTAGAATACCACCTCACCTTTGAAAAACACATACAGTAGATTTGAGTTCTTTTGTTGGAGAATTTCAAAAGGAAGTATGAGCCTAATTTCTTCATGAAAAGAATGAATAAGCTGATTTTCTATTTGTAGCAGTCCTTACTTTTTCTAGAGAACTATTACCACTGGGGCAAACCTTAAATTACTTTAGCCCCAGCCTATACACACACAGCCACTTTAGTAGCTTTATTTTTAGTATTTATCAACTAACCATCCCTTAATAAACAAGCAATAAATAGGAAACCTCCATAAAGCATAAATCTTTTAAGCTGGCTAAAAAATAACAATTTAAGAAGTAATCTGACACCGGTGGTGTTTTTGTGGGGCTTTTTCATTCTTAAATATTAATTCTAAAAGTATAAATATTGTTTGTATCATACCAGAATAGCCTCTTAATTTTTTTTAAACAATCTGAGGTGCACTGTCATGATCACTGTGAAATTTTTGACTTTTCAAACAAATGTTGGAAGCTAGTGGATTGAAATTACTGTATTTACTCAAATATAAGATGAACTCCCACCCCACCATCAGCATGGGGGAAAAAAGCCCCTGACCTTATATTTATATACAAAGAAGAGGGGGGAGCAGGCAGCTGTTCTGGTTCTGACTCTGGCCCTGAACCCAGAGTCAAGGCCAGAGTCTGACCCATAGCAGCCTCCTGCCTGTCCCGCCCCCACCAACCTATCACCCTCTTCTCTCCCCTCTTACTGTCAGGCGCAGCTAGGCTCCAGCTTGGGCAGGGGTCTCTCTTGGACATGGAGCACATGGAAACTCCTTCCCCTGCCTCGCCAATTAGGAGTGCCAACACCGCTGCATGGCCAAGCAAGGGCTGAGCTTCCAATGCTGTGCTCTAGGACAGAGCAGCCATGGCAGTGTCTGACAATAAGAAGGGGACGAAAAAGAGACTGGGGGAAGCAGGGGTTGAAGAGGCAGAGACTAGAGGGAGAGGAAGAGACTGCGTGGTGCTAGGGGATGGGAGATGCAGGTGTGGAGGGGAGGCAGGGAGGCTGCATGAAGAAAAAGTAAGACAGAAGGCAAGGGGCCACCTGACCTCTCCCCACAGCCACTGTTTTTCCTGCTGTAGCAGTGGGGGCCAAGGATTCAAGACAACCCTCCAATACTTAGATTCTACAGCTGGAAAATTATAACATTTATGCATTTTCCATATATAGAATCTAGTTAGTAGGGAGGGGTCAGCTTCTATCTGCTTAAATATGGTAAATTCTCTCTCTTCCCATTGAATCATAAGTAACAAGGGCTGGAATGGACCTCAGCAAGTCATCTAGTCCAACCCCTTGCTCAAAGTAGGACCAGCCCCAACTATATCATCCCAGCCAAGGCTTTGTCTAGCCGGGTCTTCAAAATCTCCAAGAATGGAGATTCCACAACCTCTCTGGGTTCCCTCCTAAGAACAACTTCATGCACAAAAGTTATATGAACAATCACAGACAGAAGTGACGACAATTGATAAATAATACTCCATATAGTTTTGCGCACACAAATAGATATTGCAATGGTTCCACCTCTCATATACATGTACCAGTGACAGCACTCAAATTGTATACCCAATGTTTTGCAAAGTTAAACAGAGCCTACATTTTGAAATATTGTCCATAGTGTCTCCAAGATAGACATCCAACTGATTCAATTAAAAAAGTTTCCTTATTGCAAGAGCAATTAATATAATACCCACCCCCTCCACCTCTCAAAGGCAGATTTTAAAAGAGAACCTGGGAGAACAAGTCAAAATGTTTCAAAGATGGAGGGTAGCAAGCAACAGCACTGTAGAAGAAGAAGGAGGAAAAAATAAGAAGAAAATTATACCCATTCCTGTCCAAGCTGAGATGCTTTACTGTACCTTAACCTGCAACAAGAAATCCTACATGTGTTCTGGGATGGCGCTTTAATTAGAGTGACTGCAGTGCTACATTTATTCAGTGTCCCGTGCTTCAAAATGATGACAGGGGTGCTTGAACTAAAGGTTGTTCAATGAGCTTTAGTTAAAGTGTCCCTGCTGCCATTCTGAAGCATGGGGACACTGAATAGACATGATGCGGAGCTGCTGCAGCATGTTAATTAACATGCTTCAGCAGACTCAATTAATCGAGTCTGCTTCAACACATGTTAATTAGCATGCATCAGAGCAGATGTTTGGCACATATATAGTTATGCTTTGCGACTGGCTTTTACATGAAAATTAGCATTGATTACATTCCAGACTTATGCACCACTGATTTTAAGGATGTGCAGGACTTAACCCTGTGCTCTTGGATGAACTTCTTGCCTTTCTGAATGCAATGTTAACTGGACATTGTGATTACTTAATGTCATGCCTTCACAACAACCGTCAGGTTACAGCATATGTGCAGCCTGCTTTTTTTAAATGTCAATGGCAAACACTTTGGTCGGGATTATATTAATTATATTGTGTTTTCTCTTCCACAGGACTTGAACTCAGAATTTTATTTTTAACTAGACAACCTACCTCGCTGCAATTCTCAGATACATTAAAATGTTAAAAGCAAATTAAGAAAATAAGACTTTCTAAAAATAGCACAATCTGGTCTGAAACTAGCATTCCAGTTACTAAGAAGATAATTTTATCTTTTACCTTCATAGATGAAAAACTAGACAGATTAACATTTCATCCCAATCCAATTAAATTCCTAGCTATCTTTATCTTTCTAGTAAATTTATGCCAGTGACCAGAATGTCCTAATCAAGCCCCTTTAAATCAGCAGCAGTGTCTTTGATTCTACAGAAAGAACTAAGCTCTTGGATCACTACTTCCCATTTTAATGGTCCAGTAGAGATCATGCACATTTCACTGTCACCACAACAGACAACAACTTTTCAGCTCCAGGCAATTCATGGTGATGTGTAGCAGAAAAATAAGGTAATTGTATTCAAAAGATGCAAAAGCTACTGAGAAAATCATCTGAGAGAGGATATTTAATACTATTTGTTTCCTTTATGGACTCATCTATGTAAGAAAGCTGCACTAGCATAAGATCTGAATTTATATATTTAAACGAGTGCATTTCTTACTTTGCCCTAAGGGGAACAGGTGTAACAAAACCAAAATAAGTGACTCATACTGAAATAAGTGTTCAGACAGACTTTTAACTATATCAGTTGAAAGGTCACCTCAAGCTACACTAACACAAGTACTTTGTGTAGGCACAAACCTTTTGTCTCCTACTGTTACACAGACAATTTGTGCAGACTCAGGAGACAAAAGTGAGGGCTATAACCATAAGCAGAATATTGCAGGCTCTTTCCTTTGGGGCTTCACGTTTTGGAAATTGTTCAGAAGGAAATACTAGACCCAAGAAGCCATGTGGTAATGTCATAAAAAAGCGACACGTTATAGAAATGTTGTTTTTATGTCTGCAGGCATAGAAACACCTGATAATATCAGCACAGCACAACCCAAAGAATATGGGAGGCGGCAAATAGGTCTTCGAAAAGAAAATAAACATGAAAAGAGAAACTAACACTTCATTTTAGATATCATGGCTTTATCAGAGTTAGTATTTCAAATTTGTTCAAGCTGTAAAATTTCATTCACAATGAAAAAAAAAACTATATGCTTCTACTACAAGAAAGAAAGCAAGCCTAATTTTTCTCTCCAATATTGTAAGATTTGAGTCCCTTGACAAAAAAATATTGAACACAATTTTACAATAGCAATTAGTGATGTGGGTTTTCCAATGTTTGCATGAGCTACCTTAAATAGGCCTCATTTTCAGAAAGTTGTAAGAATTTACTTGAAAAAAGTGTCTCAAGCTAGGTGCCCAAAAGCTAAGAAACCACAATCATTAGCTACTTTAAAAAAAAATCTAGCCCACGGTTAGAGACTTATATATTGCATTACAAAACACATTTTAATAACAACACAACTTCAAAACAGAAGCTTACAGTGGAGGCACAAAGAGATCCTCACACACCACAGTGTTGTCAGGCATTAACAAGATATAATAAAGCTGAAACAAAGCTTTATACTAAAGCTTTCAAAACAGGTCTCCAAGAATTTAATAATAGCCAAGAATGTTTAGTTGTTATAGCAAAAACTTACGTGTGCTTTAATGCTTAAACATTATAGCATGATATCAAGCAAAATAAAAATTAGCACACCATTTTTCTTCACATGCAAGTTGCAGAGAACACAGAACACTACACACACAAAAAGACACACTTGAGTGACAGGCAAATATAGCAAAATAAGTAATAATTTTAGGTTCACTTACAGTAATTTTTTCTGTTGTGCCGCATGAGAAACAAGATACAAAATTAAAGTACACGGTGATAAATTATTTTTTATATAGGCCATTTAATTTTTAAATATTCCACACTCCACAATTCTCCAAAAATGCATTAATGCATCTACTTTTGTGACAATCACCATCTTATCCTTAAGATAGCATCGCAAAGAAAAAAAAAATCGAGGAGGAATCACCCACCTTTCTCTTAACAGTTTTACAGGGACTAGAGGAAGATGAAACAGAATTGCACTTAAGCACTTAAATATTTAACAGGTGGCAGGATAGAATCCGGCCCCAAAAGAAGATAAAAGTTTAAAAATTCAGTGCTCTAGTTAAATGATAGTTTTCTCCCTCTCCACCAAATTTTTTAAATTTTCCACAAGTGGCATGAATGTCGTGACTCAGACTTCTTTTATCTATGTCACACTACCACTGCATATTTCAGCAGAATGTATAGTATGCTTTCAGGAGAGGTGCTAAACCTGTACTAGAAGCAGAGTTTCAAGTCAAGATGAAATCACAGACACAGGAACCTGTAAGACTGTGACTACATGCACTACGCATGGCTCACTTGCAACTTTTGCATCTTCTCCCATTTCCATGAGTAATAGAGTCCATCACAATAACTAAACATTTTTTGTTTGACGAAATACTTCAGAACATTGCCAGAACTATATATTGTTCATTTCCAACTTCTTATTATGAGACCAAACAGTTAGGTGGCAGCAACTAAGCACACTACATACCAACTTACTTAAAACCCACAAAATAGCTCTAAAGGAGAGGCTCCTCAAGCTGGGGTTATGTGAGCTTGATATGCTATCAGTTCACTTCATAACATTTTTAAGAAGGTAGCATGTGGACCAGCTAAGCCTGGGAACCTGGAACTGCTTCTTGAAAGCAACTGCTGTAAAAGCAAACCAGCTTTGGGGGACAACAGGCCCACATGCTCCACAGACCTCTAGAATTGGAACTGGTCCACACACAGCTTCTGGATCTGGTTAGTACAGCCAATTAGGGAAGCACTGTGCCCAGTCCAAATAGCTCTGCCTCTAAGCAGAGCTAAATAGAACAGATGAGTTTGGGTGGCACTATGCCTGGCTAATTAGCTCTACTGAGAAGCAAGGCTAGTTAGTCCATCTGAGTGCTGCATATATTTTCAGTTCAG